GCAGTACAATCAGAATTCTCAGTAAATTAAAGAGCCCATATAGAGTCAGCACATGTCACTGAGATATGTGCTCCTAATTAAGACTGAATAATGTTTTGTTGTGCTGGGACTAATGACCCTTGCAGTGCAAAGCACAGAACTGCATCTCTGAGAAGCTAAACACCTCTTACCACTTCATTCAAAGGCACTTGCAAGCCTTCTGCCTCTCCCAGGCTTGGAACTGTAACATATGTTAGGGTTGTTCATATTGCTAACATTATGAGTGGGTTACAGACACATCAATCACTTCACTCATTCATGTTCTTCTGGTCAAGGAATTTTTACTTATGGCCATTCTTCTGCTCAGTGTATCAAAGTAATTTGAAGATTTTACAAGTTTATGCTTAGCAATTCATTTTGAAATATGGTGAAATAAAAATAGGGAAGAAACTCTATCATTTCAACTCTTAAACTGCAGTTTGAAGAAGCAAAATGATCACTGAGGTTTAAGTGAAGTTTCCTAAGAGGTGAAGCACTGAGAGATTAAATAGCTATATCTATGAGGTATTTCAATTTTCTGTTTGAAGCAATCAGGTTTAAGTAAAATGGCATGATAATGAGATGAAGAGTCTGGTACTATATCTTGGAAGGTAACACTCTCAGTTTCTAAGCATCACCTGTACATTGTAACCCAAGCAGAACCATGGCCTTTACTGGGAGAAAGAAAGCATTTGTATTCAAAACCATACCCCGTATGAGTATTTTTCAAAATAATTTTCCAGGCTTTAAAACCAAACTGCAATTATCTTTTTAGGGAAAAATATGACATACTTTTTCAATATTTACCAATGCATCAAAGTAGTTGTTGTAAGGAGGGCACATGGTACATTATAGCCATAGTGTTTATTAATCTAGTATGGTCTATTGCAAACCTTTACCAATAAACAAGCAATGATTCAAATTAGAGCATATTTGAAAACATTTTCTACTCTAAAAATAATTGCATCACAATGAGATGGCCATCACAATTTCAAATTACACTTCACTCTGTTTTCTAGAGACAGATAAGTCCATACAGTATGACTGAAATTTCTGATAATTATGACAAGCTGATAAATTGCAGACTTTAGAGGTTCGCTTCCCTATAGATGAAGCCCCTTATAACTAGACTAAAGAACTGTCACTAAAAATGCTTGCTTGAAAAAATAATTTGCTTCAGCTCATTAATATGTTTAATTTTGCTGCTTTTATTATTTTTTTTTTTTTTAAGACATCACACATGCATTTCATTCTACAATCATCTAACTTAACTCTGGCAATAAACTAGGAATTTAAACTTATCAGACATATGGTTCTGCAGATTGAAAGCTTTCAGAAACTGACAAGCTAGTAACAACCCAGATTGCAATTAAGAAGTTCAGAAGCCTTAAATCAAGAGACTTGGATATTTGTGCTGCCATTTAAATTAGCAGATCCATTAAAAATTAATTAAAAAATATAAAATATCACACCATAAAACACTGGTAGGGCATCTTCATACCTCAGAAATAAAACAAACTATATTAAATCTGATGTGCCTAAAAAAGAAACCAATGACAATTTACATTTTTTCTCTTATTAAGTTCTACCTTGTAAAGCTTTCATTTAAAATGTTGCCATCCAAGTTCCATTTCTAAAAAGCACAGGGAACACAAATACAGAAATCTCCAACATTCATTGTTCACCAAATTTTTATGAAATCTACCTTTCTCTTTTCTTCCACAAATCTCGTATTTTACTATATGGCAAATGTATTTTCTAGGATTTTTCAAATGTCATCTGGTTTTCCTTCACTGCTTTTCTTATCTTCATTTCCTCACTTTCTCCCCTCTTCTATGATCACATTTGCTCTTCCTTGCTTAGATTTTGCATTACAAATTAATAATTTTATATTTGACACTTAAGGCTAAATATCCCAGTAAACACCAGGGATATTATACTTCTGCTCCTGGAAAGGTATATATAACTTTATAGTTAACAAATTTTATTTACAAATGGGACATAACTGCAAGTCCTATGCAAATAAAAGTTTGTATTCTTTGTTTCCACAGATTTCATGGTTAGGGAAATAAAAGTTATTCAATGTGACAAAAAACATGTCTGAAATTATATATCTCCTGTCAACAGGATTCTTAAATTAATTGGTCTGCTCTTCAGGAGCTTTTTCTTCTTCACTATAAAGAAGTTTATGAGCTCAAATGTCTTGCCCTCATAAGATGTTATGTGAAAGCACAAAGTGACTTATATAACAACAGTGTAATTTAGAGCTTATATCAAGTCTGAGACTAGGCAAGTAGATTTCGTTGAAAAATGAAGACTAAAACATTTATGGAGACTCAATGAAGCAAAATATTTCTTGAAAATATATTGATTTTCATTAGAATGCTCTTGTGAAGACAATTATGACTTTCTACTTAAAAGTAATTGGTAGAGAAAAGTTTTATAACATTTGCCAGGTATAATGCAGGCAGAGACCTATTGTTTTATTACTTGTTTTTTTTCAAATGAATAAATAATATTTAATTTCAACTATGTAATTAGCCAAGAAGCAAAATTATTCAAAGATTAGATTTAACTTGAGTAATATCTCAAAATTATTACACAATCATATAAGCAATGCCTATAAAACTATTTTTGCTAGATTATTTGAAAAACTTTGTCTTGCTCCCCATTCCTACACCAGTATAGAACTACTGTTTCTTTGAGGTTTTCATCTCAAGCAAACAACTACACAAGATTCCAGAGTTAAGGCAGTACTTTTACTTCCCATTCATAACAAGCTTTTGCAATAACACTATGGAAGAAGATTCACGTAGCAAGAATTTGAGATACACCACTTTGAACTCTTAAAAAAAGCACCCCAAAAAGCCTTAAAGAAGGGATCTTGACGTTCTCTGGAAAGTGAGAGAACTATTTTCCATCCTTTTTTTAGCCAGCATTTCCCCTCAAGTCCTCTGCATAAGACTGGAGGAGCTTGTTAACAAACTCCCTCTTGTCCTAATTTCTGTTTGCCCTCATCAGTCTCCACTACTGTCCTGAAGTCTGAAGGAAAAAATAATGATTTCTGCCACCTCAGAGACTTCGCATCTGCTCTTTGCCTGTGCTCCTCACTTTCCTCCCCTTTCTTCATATTCCCAGTCTCTGGTGTTCCTCTATCACACCCCTCAGAGTATCTTCCTTGAACGTGTGAGTTTTCCCTGGTTATGTATCCATGCAGAGGAACTAATCACTTTTCTCTTGTGTAGATTCTCTTTGATTGAAAGTGCTGCACTGAAGATAGGCAATAAGGCACTCCTTCCCCACTCAGAACTGGTCTTCCACACACGCTAACACAAACCAGTAAGTCAATTAGATGGGAGCAGACTCACACCCAAATGAAGTAACACAAAGTCTGTGAAAATTTCACACACTATGAAGCTTATCTTTTAGGGTTATGTTTTCACTGGGTCAGAAAAAATTTTGTCATTTCATGGTGATTATCTGTTTTTCTTGCAAAGAGAAAGCATGACTTGTGCATGCTTGCAAATGCCCTTGAAGATAAATCAGAGCTTGCTTATTAGTTAAAACTGACTTCCTTTATGATCTGCCATTTTTTTGTGATTTCCCCATTACACATAATTGAGATTTTAGACCTCAGCATAAAATATTAATAAACCATATACCCAATATCTGAGACATGGCACGGATCTTTGTGAACTTTGTGATACATTAGATATGTATTAGTCACAAGTCTTCAAATGAACTATAATGAGTAATTTAATTCACCCAAAAACATTTCAATAAGTTATTTTAAAGAATCATAAACAGTTAAAAAAATTTGAAATAAATTTTTTTCTCTATTTTTCTCATGTTCCTACAACAAAACAAACTGAAAATATAAAAGTAATATATAAATCTAAGAAATAAATTGATAAAAAGGCTGGATTTTTTTAAAACACATCTGTTCAGTCCTAATAAAATTTCATTCAAAAGCAGATCATATGAATTCTTCTCTGACAGGTTACTTCTCTCTACTGACATACCAAGGTTTACCTGACTAGCTTGGACCTGTAATACAGACAAATCACAGAACTTGCTCCAGAAGTGTAACATGGATATAACTACTTGAACTGTAGTGGTAAAAAAACGCAGTTAAACCTGTGAATTGTAATGTGTTATTAGTTATAGAAAAGAACAAATAAAATAAGGATATAAATGCTAAACAAGAGAAAGAAATTCATTGAAATGTGCTCTATTACATCAATAATAATTTCAGTAGAGACATAAAGGGACCATAATTTCTCATAAATTATATATAATCTACTCTTTATGTAAGCTTAATTTCATGAACCAGATGTATTAATCTTGTCAAACTATGAAAAATCAAATGGCTACCAATATGATTTTATTTCTGAATAAGTAGTATATTTCTGCTTCATTACTTCTGATTAAATTTTGACATTAATTCCATACCTGTTCTGTCAGATGAAACTAGAAAAATATTAAATATTAGCAGATAAAATTTCCTATTTATATAAGTTCCTTTCTTAATCTACTTCACAGATGACTAAAAGGATGACTAAAATTTTTGACAAAAAACTCCAAGCCAACTACCCAACAAAACTTCCCTTCACAGTGTTCCCATGCAGAACAATGACAATTACAAAGCTTCCCTAAAGCTAAACTAAAGTGAATAAAGAGCATTATAAAGATTTACATACACTTTACTATTATCACCTGTATGAGAGCATGCACCTAAATAAGTTATATACCATTCTGACCCAGCAAACAGTGCATCCATCATAGAAGGCCAAATGTCATAACTTCACTGAAGTTCTTGGGAATCACCACTATAATGGTTTTCACTTATGAAATGAAGTTCCATAGAAATACCAAATATAAGACAGAATAATTTCAACCCAATACCTAACACAGTATCTTTACTTGTAGAGGATATATAGGACTCACAAGATTTGAATTTAGATATTCCAAAACTGCCTTACCATGGTGTAGTTGTGAGCCACCTTCATAAGCTCTGTGCACCCTTGTGCATCAGCAAACGCTCGTATTCCCAAACAGTTGGATGGGTGCAAAAGCTTCATTAGAAAATGGCAGCAAACCTCCACTACTTGGGGGAGCTGGAGAAGGCAGGCAGCTGCTAGAAGGTTTTCAATGGTGTCTTCTTTTAATTCCAGGCAGCCTAAAAAAGAAATATTGATAACAAATTTAAACTTATTTACTTAGTATTTACAAAACATACAGTATCAAAATGCATTTTTATAAATAATTGCAGCTCTATATAAATAACTCCAGAGAAAAAGTGAAGAAAAGAAGGATTAATCTCCCTGACTGAACACCCCAGAGACCTGGAAATTGCAGTATTAGAAATATTACTTTTTAAACTACTATTAATTGAACTATATAACAGGCATAAAAAGAGAGACTGTACTGTATCAAATGGAATAAAAGACTTGGAATATCTCAATATCAGCCAGGCTGTGAATGCTTTTTTATTGGGTTTCTTTTCTTATTTTTATTGAAATTCATAATAAAACTTGTGTTATCTTCAGTGGCACAGAGCAAACCTCACAGCCATTTACTTCCCTGAAAAGAATGAAATAACTGCTTAGTATAGTATGAATAAACCCATAAATACATCTTCAAAACAAGACTTAACAATCTTCAAACATTGTGTTGCTTATTCATAATGTGACTTCAGGATTAATGCTATCTGAGCAACATATGGCAGGCTTCTCGTAACACATAGTTCCTCTAAAATAATTTATATTGGGGGAAAGAACCATTAATTAATACTTATATTGCACTTAATTCTGTAATTTCACAAGTCATTATCTTTACCTTTGTAGACTGACACACTTTTTAATAAATAAATGTAAAATAGAATAAAATAAACTGTAAAAAGAATTTATTTTAGGCTGGAATAAGTAATTCATGTTATAATGCTCCCCCCAACTATAATATTAAATTTTATTTTTACATTAGAATCTTATAAATCTCTTACATTAATAACTTAAAAATCTTCAAGCTAAAGATTACAAGGATATTTTGGAGAACTGAAAAAAAAAAAGGAAAATAAAATGTGCAAATTTAATACAAATTGTCAAAAAATACTTCTGATGGTAATGCGCTGTCCTCAGAAAAAATAATTTCTGACTATAAGAGGATTAAGTGCATATTGATCTTTCTCTTAAAAGTATTATAGTTTAACACCTAGATAAACTCACTCTTTTCCCCACAAAAGCTTTGTATTTGCAGTCACATAAAAAAAATCTAAAAATCTTAATAATTATATTGCATGGTGCTAAGGAGTTCTAAAATCCTCAATTTCACAACAGCATGCCATTGGAAAGAAAAGATGCTTTATATTGCAATACCAAACCCAAAATAAAGTAACATTAACACTGCACATCTGATCTTTTCTCCTTTCACTAGATCTGGAGCTTTTAATACAAGAGGGAAACTGTGAAGTTATACTTTACTAGATTTAGTTATAACACATCCTTTTCTATAGGTCAGAGCATCAGATCAAGCACACAGCTTAATTTCAGTGGGTTTCCTTTCCTTATTTTTATTCTTTTATTAATGTCGCATGAGTGGTTTTTTTATGTTATCTAACCTTTTCTCACAATTTCTGTACACCCCATCTTTATGCAGTGTGGTCAGAAGGCACACTCAGCAGCAGATCCTTGGCTGACCCACATATTCATCAATGACACTCCCGCATTTGCTGCATGCCCGCTGGCTCAACACAAAATTCTGGAAGCATTCAAAAGATAGTTGTTTTCAGATTAAAACTGACCATCCTGGTAACAGAGGTAAAAAAATTGAAAATGTGTAAAACACCTTTGAAAATTGGATGAACTGAGAAATGGAAACAAAAACAAAAAAAAAAAGGGATTCTAAATCTCCTTTTCTTAAATGCTATTTATTTTTCAACAATGAGCTCAAAAAAGTCTCTGGCCCTACAAAACTGATCCAGGTATCATTTGCAAAATGATATAAATATAGAAAGAATCACTTTCAATATCCTAACATTAGGAGGAAAGGTAACACCCTCATGGTTTGGCCTTTTTATCACTAAAGGCAGCTACCCTTAGGAGAAGAACCCAAAGGAATCAGTTGAAACCACATCAATCTATTTGTTTTCAAATTGAGATATTTTCTGTTCACTTTAAGGTACACTAGTCCTGGTACAGCATTAGTTGGGAAACAGTAGGATTAAACTAAGTTTAAATCAATAAAACATATTATCTAGTTTATTAATAACTTATTTATGTATTTCTTTATGTAACTAACATGGAAATTTTGAAGAAGATTATTCACATTTGTATAGAAGAGTGTGAACACATTTCTGCTTTACACTGTAATAGAGGAAGTAAACATGCAACCACTTCTGGGACATCTAGGGATAAGAATATATTATAGCTTTACTTATTTTTAACTAAATTCAGAAATACTAATTTACTACTTAATATATCTATGATAAAAGCTAGAACAATACACTCAGTATGAGTTAAAAAGTTTTTTTTCTTCATTCTTTTAGCTTCAGTGATAGATAGGTTTTTAATCCATCTAAATGTCTTCTAAATCTTGATTATCTTCTTTTTTAAACATCAAGACACCTTCATAAATTTGTTCACAGGGTCTGTATTCCCTTTTTCAAAAGAGTGCTGTGACATTTTATGCAAATTCCTCTGGGATATCAAGTGTTTAGCATGGTCAGAGTTTGAAAAAAGAAAGCTGTTAAGGGGCTCTGTATATAAAATATGAAATCTTCACACAGTTTCATATTGGCAATTAGAAGATCCAAGCATCTATTTAAAAATGTTTAATGGGATATTCAAGGGGCATTAATATTACTGCTTCTTCAATTCACCTCCCCCTCATATTTTTATGCACTAAAAGCTTGCACAAGTACCTTAGTCTGAGAAAAACAAATTAACTAGAGCTTAAAATCTCCTTTTGTATTACATTAATTAAGATGAAAAAATATGAGGAAAAAATCAAAAGAGCTTTAATGAATTCTAATTGTTATTCTAAACTATAGCTGTATTTGTGAAAAATTTTATGTGCATTGCTTATGCAGAAATTAAAATGCCTGTCTTTATCATGCATTCTCATAACAACTACATAAATTTTATTACCTCATTACCAAATGTGAAGCAGAGATAAAATAAGAATTCTCTGATATTCTTGTTCTGTTACTAGACCTTTTCCCAAGTTCAGGGACAGTTATGTCTTGGAGTTGGTTTGTGAGGTTTTGTTTGTTGCTGGTTTTTGTTTTGTTGTTGTTGTTTTGGGGGTTCTGTTTGGGTTTTTGTTTTGTTTGTTTTGGGTTGGTTTCTTTTTCTCTTTTATTCTCTCTCCTACACTATTGACTATACTTTAGAACTATTTTGGTTTACAGGGAATCACTGCACCTTTGCCCACCTTTGTCTGATGTTAAATAAGGTCAGTTTATATTATAGGAACAGCGTCCCGCATGTATTTACCAACAGATTGGACCTGTGGTAGGACAACTCAGTAGGTACAGGTCATTTGCTCTGTGTATAAGCAATGAATTTTAACCTAAATTTGTGACACATCATAATATCATTTTACATCATGTTCACAGTAGTTTTTTTTCTCTTTTGTAATTACACACTTACCCACAAGACTCTTCAACATTCTTAAGAGTGTTGTGTGTACAACGGAAATCATGGGAAGTGTCAAGGAATAAGAAACAAAGGCTAAAACCAATTCCTTGAAATCAGGTATTTATCTTCTTAACCTTTCTATTTCATGTGTCTTGACCAGTTGTGTGGAACTTTTGAAATGTTGTTGAGTGAAATTATTTCTGGAGGGTAATCTGTTTTAGGAGCTAATCCATTTTTAAAATTTAAAAAAAAAATTTTTAAAAGGCAGTAAATGGTATCAAGATAATATTCATTCATCTTATGCATAGTAGATTAACTGACTACAATAAGAAGTTGGTTTCTTGAAAAATCATCTAATCCGATTGAAGACTGGAAAAACCTTATTTAAAAGGTGCTATGCCTCACACACTGCTATAATAAACCTTTCTGCCATTGCTTGCCTTAATCATTCCAAATCTTTGGTACTCTGAGGTAACCACCTGACCTAATCACTCAAGATCTCCTTTTACAGTTCACGGAGAGAAACAGGAAGCCTTAGAGCTGTTTTCATCTGCTCGGTTTCAGTCATGTACTGCAGAATGAGATGAATCACTCCCTGAATGGCTATTTCTTGATTTCAGCTACAAAATGAGCACCTTCATTTGCGTTACTGAGACACTTCTGATATTCATATTTGTTGACATGAATTCAGTTACTCTGCTCCCAAACACAGCACTGGAATCATTAGAGCCATCAGGTTTCAGATGAAGAAATACTCTTTGGGTTCAATTCTGATGATCACTTCCCTCTGTTATGGTCAATTTCTGGTAGTGACATAGTGTGTAAAATCACCTCTTATGTCTATCCACGAGCACCACTCAATGAAGAATGCTACAAAAAGTATCGTCTGTGTAGCAGAACATTTTTTAGTCTCCAGTTTGACCTATGCCTTAAAAGATAAATTCTACATTGTATTGTCTTCCATACTTATAAAGGTGAAGATGTTTTCAGAAAAGAGAACAGAACACAATATATTCACTTAGCAGAGGTTTCTTCTGATCAAATTGTGTTTCATTTTCTATAAATTATTTGCTGCAGACCACATTCATCAGTTGTACTTGAGGAAGAAGCCACTTTATGGTTAATTGTGCTTATTTAGAATCACAGAATAGTTGGGTTGGAAGGGACCATAAAGATCATCTATGGGACAACAAATAAGGGACAGAACAGAGAGCACAGAGGAACTCATGGAATGGGTTGTTCTGGCTTTGGTGGGATACAGACCCTGGGAAATGAGATCACAGATATGAAAAAGAACTGGGAAAAGAACTGTATATGTAACTATCAAGGTGCTTGAAATTATGCTGTTTTGTAAGGCTGCCAAGTAATGTGAACAATATGCAGCTAGTGGGAAATTTTTGATCAAAACTGTGGCTGCCTGGAGCTGTAACAGTATAAAACTGTGAGAACAATACTGCAACTTCAGTAAACAACTTCAATGACCCCGACTTTTTGCTTGGGCTTTGGCTTCTTGCTTGGACTATGTTTTGCACCCCTCCTTTGA